CGATTTGCTTTATGTAGTTTCGATTTCCTTAATGTAGTTGCGCTCTGCTTAATGTAGTTGCGATTTGCTTTATGTAGTTTCGATTTCCTTAATGTAGTTGCGCTCTGCTTTATGTAGTTGCGATTTTAGATTTGTAGTTGCAGCTTGCACTTCAGGGCCACCGTATTCTTTACATTGTTTGACAGTAAACTAAACTCTTAAATGTTGTATTTCTTGCTTATTCTGTTTTTTTTTTTGTATTATATCTTATGTGTTTGAAATCAACAGCTGGCTTTGAAAACATCTGTTGTAATTCACGGAAAACTGGGTTTTAATCCTTTTTTTTTTCCTGTCTCTCCTCCAGGCAATGGAAAGAACAGAAGACAAAGCATGCTGTTTTAAAAACTCCAGACTGGACTGTTATTTTATTTTTTTCCGACAAGAAGGACCTTCTTGCAGACGGATCAGTTTCTAGAGATGGATGGATATGTTGACGTTTTTTTATCAGCCCCCCAGGCCGTTTCTAAAGATACTGGGAAAACGTAGCTGTCCGCCGTAGGACTCGCCCTCCATCTTTTCCCCCAGGGTTAGTCTGAAGCTGGCTCCAATGAGAGACGTTTATTTACTGTACATTTATATTTATTGAGAGAAGAAGTTGCTGCTAAATCAAACTACTGTTTGGGTTTCTAACTGGCTCAGTCACTTTAATGAATACATGCCATGTGTATAGATTTTAAACTTCATTTTTTTGAGTTTTGAAGTGGTTTATATTTTGTCTTTTATTAGTTTTTTTTTCTAATTGGCCACTGTTAACACATTTGCTCCAGCTTTGGAGCGATGTTTCTGTAGCAGCTCAGAGGTCAATGTTCTGTTTTTTTGTTTGTTTTTTTTTTGTAAAAGAAGAGGTGCTGCCCAGATCATCCGTTTGAAGTTTTCTGAGGCGAGGTTTGACATAACTGAACGCTTTCGTCCCGACTGGAAGATGCTGCACCGATGCTGCGGTCTCAAACATGACCAATGAAACGAAAGCAGGGATAAAGGAAACATTAAGAAGGGCATTACTGGAAGAAATCCTAGTGGAAACACCTTCATGTTCTACTTCTTTCTAGGAGTTTCTTTTTTCTCCTTTGCCTCCATCTTTGTGTTGCATGCCTGCTCCGTCGTGTGATGAAGCACACAGCTAGTGATCTGTTACACCAGGGAGCACTAGCTGTAGTCCATCCTCCCCCTCAGCTGTTCTGGTCTGTCACCGTTCATCTACCAGTGTTACAACAGATGTTTTCTATGATAATCTTTAACTTTATTGGTGAATAACAGATAACTGTGTGGGATTTTGTTGCAGATGTCACTCCCATATTTGAGTTTTTTTTTTTTTTCCAGAGTCAAAGAAATTAAATTCAAAGTTTACGCAAAAATGTTTGGTTTTGTCTTCAATATCAGCCGCTGTTTGTTTGTTTCTTTAAATATATAAAACCTCCTCAAATTCCTCCATCTTAAGACATCATACAAGAAATTGTGTCGTGCATTTGTATTCAGGCTCTAATCTGACATCCCTACATGCAATCAGACAAAACCTTGGTATAAATCCAGCTATTCTGTGAAAACAAAGGTTT